CCTCCCCATCCAAAACGATTGCACGCAGTTCCTCGTTCCTTGTGGCACTTGGTGAATTTGTTTATGGCGCTCACATATACACCTGAACGCTCATGATTTTTGAGTGCCGAAAATCCTCGGCATTGAATCTGAGTGATTACGAATAGCGGCTGTACCACTCAACCGTCGTAGCAATGATAGATTTCGGTGGTCATACAAGATAACTATAAACAGCTCTACACTGCAAACCAAAATCAGGACAGCAAAAAACAGCATCTTGAATATCGGTCCAAATTGTGTGCTTATGTGTTGTCACCGTAATTTTGGCGCACCCTGTACTACCCAGTAGCATTCCTTAACCTTTGACGACCGCGCGCTCTAAACGTGTCTAGGCAGGGTCAACCGTCCGTTGGACAAAGTCCAACGCGACGACGAGAGTAATGCCGAGAGTGAACGTACGCACGGAGACACAGACGGCTCGCGGGTGGCGAGAGTGAATGCCGGCGCGGAGAGCGGTGAACATCGGTCCAACGTCGCTCCAATATCGGTCCAACGTAACGGTTGACCCTGGTCTAGGCCCGCAACGACTGGTCCTATTGACTGAATTATGCTAGGAATATGTTTTTAGCCCTATTGTTTCTGGATTTCTCCCTAGAAGAAAGCAATTCGTGGACCACTGTGTACATAGCCTTGTTAGGGTGTTGTGAACATATTTAGTAACTAAAATTTCCAAAAATGTCAAAAGGAAGGAAGTACAAGAAATTAGTATTCGCAAGAGCAAGGGAGCATGGGATAGTGTAGAGAGTCTACGCAAATGAGAGGAAGTTGCGTTACTTTCGTTTCTGTCGTTTCTCTGGTCCATCGTTCAAACCGTTGTACATCACTGGTACTCCATCGCTCGTTAGCGAATCGCTGAATGCGTAAAGTCTAGCACCGGTCTAACGAGGTAATGCCGAGAAGTTCATCTCTAAGTGCTCTTGGCACTTCAAGCAACTAATCATTTCATGAAGCTGCCTGAACTTTTCTTGCATCATTACCCGGCACATGAAATTGAGTGAGGAAGCAATTATGATTTGTGCGAGCACTGTTTCATACATGTCAATATTTAAAAAAAATCGTCTTTGTAGCATTATTATAGATATAACGTGGAGAGAAGAATGTACGTTGGATCGTGAGCGAAGACGTTAATAATGATGCCGTTTTTCGTGCTTTAATAACGCTTCACAGGGTCTGGAGTAAATTGAGACGGGTTTTTCTTCCTCAATATTTCGTGGGTCTGAAGCTGAATATTGGCTCGGAATGGATGTGCTATACACTCAGGGTTAAACATTAATGTCACTCATCACCTTTTTGTTATCCAAAGGATGCCAAGCTTCGTATCGGATGAGACAACCATAGCGGCTTTGCACCAGAACACTTTCAACAACCGCGTATGACTGAATCAAAATTCTCAATGAAGACGATCGATTTCGGAGTAGGGATGACAGAGTGTATGCGAGTATAGGTCCCCTCTGGGGAAAGCGGGTTCGATACCTGCCAAGGCATGGCCATGTTCTGCAAAACGCGCAAAAATTGCTCAGTGCCAGCGTCAGGCTCAAGTTGAGTGGCCCGCTGATGAATATCTCTTTCACAAGAAACACAAAACTTATATACCTCCCCTTCAAAAAGCGAGAAAGTGTCGGGTGCAGACCATACACCACAAGTGACGACGGCCTCCACAAAATGAAATGTTTTCTGCCAATGAAATGATTAGCCTGTTGCAGTTGTATTCTATCAGTTGTCACTAATTACAACTATCATTTACCAAAAATCAGCTATCACTATGAACCACTACTAACCAGATTTACTTGGAGGCCGTCGTCAGTTGTGGTGTTTGGTCTGCACCCGACGCTTTCTGGCTTTTTGAAGGGAGGGTAGGTATCAGTAATGAAGCTAGGATGTCACCAGGAAGAAGCGCACAGAACCCCGCCCGAGTTCTGTGGTCAGTATGCGAGGGCTACCGAGGAGTGAACGGCCTCGGCCAAAGAAGCTAGTTCGAATAGGGACTCTGAACGTAGGATCGCTAACTGGGAAGTTTCGCAAGGGGACCGATTGATAAAGCGCAGGAACGTCTGAGTTCTATGCCGCTCGAAAGGAGCGAAGACTGCTTCAAATGTGAGAATATTCTATCTGATGGTGAGCCTTGATGAAACTATCAAGTTGAGTCCTTAAGATTACTATCTTACCATGGCAGATGATTGAAACAGCAACATCGACCAGTAGATGCCTATAAGGGTGAGGAATTCGAGTGAAGAACGCTGATGGCAAGCTCAGCTACGGCCTATGATCTCGGGGTTTGCAGCATGTTTTTCGTGAAAAGTTGCACCCAGAAAGTGCACCAGTGGAGCGAAAATAACATAAATAC